TATATATATATATTATTTTTCACCTAATTTTCTGCAATTAAACAATTAAATATTTATTCTATTTCTTACTTATTTTTATTTACCTACTTTTCTTTTCTTTATTTTTTTTATTCTATTTTTTTGACATTTGAGAGAAAAGAAATTGTCTACAATTACAAATTATTGTCATTATAATTCTAAGTGTTCAAAAATGGTTTGGATTATTTTCATACAACTTAATCACACAAGTTTCAGGGGAAAAAGTAGTGGTTAACGTGGCCAGTGAATTGGAAGATGGATTAATGATCTTTGCGCAGTATCTTACTCAACTTAATCCGTTGTTGATTTCCGACACTGAGTTTCAACTCCTCATTGTAGACACCTCAACTTATACACAAGTTGTAAGGCTTGTTGTGTAACACGGAATCAATCTGACAGTTATATAGGTTTAATTTTTATTTAAATTAAAATAATATTTAATTAATAAAAATCATGTTTGATAGGTATCAATTAGTTTTTAAACATTCATTTCAAGATACTGCATAAATGGTATAAAAAAATTATCCTGTATTGATAGTTCAAGCTTTTTTAATTAATATAAGAGCAGAATAACCAATTTTAGACTTTGCTTGCAATTTGACGTTAAGTATTAGGATAAGATCGACATCACATCAAACTATCATTTTATTGCTAGAATTTGTTATGAAGAAAGATTCTTATACAAAATAGAAGAGCAATATGTTAATTTCAATTTCTTGTAGCAAGATTCAAACATATTCACTTATATTAGTAACACAATTTGAAGGCATAAATGCTTCCAAATCTATGAAGTTTTAGGATTAGTTTTTCTGCATTTGCTTTATATTCTGCCTATGACTACTCTTATTGGTAAAGAATAAATAGAACAATACTAAACATATTTAAAAGTTGTTGAGGGATAATCTACCTTGAAAAATGGTACATACATTTAAAAGTCTAAGTAAGACTACTTTTAACACTGTTTAAATATGGAATAACAATAAAAACTAATCTAATAATACTTCACATATAAAAACTAATTTAATAAAATTTTAAATATAGAGACAAAATTGATAATCAACTGCACGTTTATATGTTTAATAAAAAAAAATTAAATCAGGACTAAAAATATATGTTCAAGATTTATTATGGTTTAAAAAAGTAAAAAAAAAAAAAAAAAATAGTTTGAGGAGATGGTGGACAAGATTAAAGCGCGTTGCCATTGGTTTCAGCCTTTTCGAGGATAAAGAAAGGGGGATGGGCCTTGAAAAAAAAAATAAACAAGGATTGCTGTATCTCCGAATAAAATCTGAAACAGTCTCCGAAATCTTAAATTTATGACCCTTTCAATAATTATATTATAAAATAATTATTTGATTCAATATTTTATAATTTAAATTATTTTCTAATGATTTGAAACGACTTTAGATGAAATAACGTTTCTCAAAAAATAATTCCCAACTTTTTCAGCCATTATTCTAAAATGCGGATTTATTTATTTATGTATTGAAATTCTAAAACGTGGAGAAGGTAGAAATAAATCTATTCAGTATCAAAAAAACTAAATTCAATTGGATATTATAAATTAAAAAAAGTAATTTAATATTTTTTATTTCCTTAAATATGTTTTATTTTCATAAAATAACTGTTTTAATTTTGATTTTTGAAATTTTTTCTTTCTTTAATATTTTTTTAAATTTGTAAAATGAATAAATTTTTGTTTGTCCTCTAAAATATATTTTTTGACTTTATTTTTTATAAAAATTTTAAATTTTTTTTTATCTTTAATAATTATTTTAAAGTAGATAAAAAGTCACAAAATTTTGAATATATTTAAATCTTTTTTATTATATCAATTAGATATTATTGTCGATAACTTTTTGTCTTTAAACGTATATTTCACATATTATTATTACTGTAATAAAAAATTAACCATCTTGAGGTACATTTATTTTTATTTTATAAATTATATGTATTTTTTTTATATGAAATAACTTTGTTCAAACATGGATAAAATTAGTGTAAGATATATATTTCTATTGTTTTTCTCTATATATTTTATTTTTGACCATTTATTAAAAAAATTATATTGCACGCCACCCACACACCCCAAAATAAAAATGGAAGAAATAATTTTCTTTACCCAATAGATGTATCGTGAGGAGGTGAGGTCATCCTTTATGAGATGATTAGCTAGTATACCTAGCGTATTATAAGAAAAAATTAATTTAAAAAAATTAACATATAAATATGTTGAATTATAATGCATTCTTAACTTTATTTAAAAATGTCATTGAAAATTAATAAATATAATATAAAAATATAAATTATAATAAAATATTATTTACAAATAAAATAAATATTGAGCATTAGTAATTATAAAACATATTTACATCAAAATAAATAATTATCAATTATTCTACAATTAATAGTTTTTATTATGTTTTGACATGAAATTTTATACCATCAATTTTAATATTTTTTTCACAAATTAAATTTAAACAGTTTTTACTTTGCAATTTTTATTATGCTAAATATTTTTTTTAATAGAATTTTTCAAAAGAAATTCAATTTTGATTTAAACATAAATCACAATAATGAAAAAAATATAGTTGAAAAGATACACATCAATAAAGATGATCAATCAAGTAATCTAATAGAGATTAATTGTCAAAAAAAAAATGGGTAGATACTACATTTTTTCATATATATATTAGAAACAAATACTTAATTTATTAAGATCAATAAAAATTGTTAGATTAGTTCATTTTAATTAATTATGTCATAATTAAATATTTTATTTAAAAAATATTTGTAAAATTAATTGATGTTATTGGTAGTTATATTTAATGACATTCTTCATTGTTAATAAATAATTTGTTCAACTAATGAACATGGATTATGATGTTAGTGGCCAATAAATACATCTACATTCGTGGAAAATTAGTAGATAACTCACTAATATATTCATAATAAATCAAGGATATAAATATCATTGAGTATTTAAAATTAAAAAAAATTTATCGTAAAATAATATTAAAAAATATAAAATAGGTAAAAGAAAATTTAAATTTATTTAGATATCATGTAGAAGTGAAAAGAAATAATGAACTAATTTGACTAAGTTAATAGGCTAGGCATA